TATCGTCAAACTTAGCTATACATAGAGGTTGAATATATTGATGTAAAAATACCTGATATTTTTAGTCGGAATTATAAAGAAAACAAAAACATAAATTATTATTTTGTGCTTGGCGAGCGATAAAAAATGGCGGTATAACCGCCATTTGAATTATTCAGAAAGATCAATAACTTTGGTTTTAGAAATACGATCATGTAATGCATAATTCTCTTTAGAGAAAAACATGAACAAATCAACAATGAAAATGATGGCAATCAGAGGTAATACACTCATAACTTGAGACAGGATAAGAAATAAGAATGAACGAACGAAAAATCCTCTTAACGACCCTGGCAATTGATTGGTATTGACATCAACAATTTGCAGTTTGAATATTTTTTTACCAATAGATTGTCCAAATTTGGTAATCATAAAGCATTGAGTGATCAAGAGAATAAGTACAAAGATCATCAGAGCAATATTCAGGTAGGCCGGCATACTTTGACTGATCATTTCCGCAATTTTAACTTGGTTATCTACTGAGAAACCATCTGAAGCAACTTTGATTGCATCTTCAGGCATAAAATAAGCAATAGCGATGAATTGGGGTAAAAACAAAAGGGCGAAGTCGATAAGTTTAGCTGAAATTCGTTTACCTACAGGTGCCGCTTTAATGATTTTTTTTGTACTTTTTTCAATTTTTATATTGGTGATAGCAGGATTTTCTTGACGATCAATTTGTTCGTTGTTTGATGACATTGGTGTGACATAACCAATAGGCTCATAAACAAGTTTACCTTGTGTAAGTTCACCAAGCGCTTTCCATTCCGTTAATCCTTGATGCCAAGCTAAATCTGTTAAAAGCACTTGCTGGCTTGCAAGCATTTGATTCAGTTGTTCAATTGAATACGGACCAGCTTGTTGGTTATTTCTCGCCAAGTAAATTTGCATAAAACTCAATTCTCAAAATAAATCTAAAAGTACAAAATTGGTAGATGAAAATGAACATAACCGCAACTTTGTTCACCTACTTTTTTAAACCACTATGTATACTAGATTTTTGAATGTATTAACATTAAATTTACACGAAATCTTAAAATATCAAGAAAAATTAACCTATTTAGCAGCAGACCGGTGACTGTGAAACTTGGTTTAACATTCAAACACAGATGTGAAAACTTAATACAGAAACTATATAAAATGTTTGTATCTACGTTAAAAACTACCAATCTTAAATCTGATATTTCATAGAATATTAAAATCAAAGTTTTAAAAAATATACATAAAAAAGACCCTGCTAGAGGGTCTTTTTAAACAGCTTTGATTAAGATTGTTTAATCTTTTCTTCTGCAAGGAAGAACCAAGTATCTAAAACTGAGTCTGGGTTTAATGAAACAGATTCAATACCTTGTTCCATTAACCATTTTGCAAGATCAGGGTGATCAGAAGGACCTTGACCACAGATACCTACATATTTACCCGCTTTACGGCAAGCATGAATTGCCATAGAAAGTAATGCTTTTACTGCTGGATCACGTTCGTCAAACAAGTGAGAAACGATACCAGAGTCACGGTCTAAACCAAGTGTTAGCTGAGTTAAGTCATTTGAACCGATAGAGAAACCATCGAAGTGTTCAAGGAATTGTTCAGCAAGTAATGCGTTTGTTGGTAACTCACACATCATGATCACTTTAAGACCGTTTTCACCACGTCTAAGACCGTTCTGAGCCAATAACTCAATAACACGTTTCGCTTCAGATACTGTACGTACAAAAGGAATCATGATTTGAATGTTGGTTAAACCCATTTCATCACGTGCTTTTTTCAATGCACGGCATTCGAGTTCGAAGCAGTCACGGAAGTTATCAGATACATAACGGCTCGCACCACGGAAACCAAGCATTGGGTTTTCTTCTTCAGGCTCGTAAAGCTTACCACCAATCAAGTTCGCATATTCATTTGACTTAAAGTCAGACATACGAACAATCACTGGTTTGTCAGCAAATGCAGCTGCAAGGGTAGAAATACCTTCAACCAATTTTTCAACATAGAATTCAATCGGTGATGCATAACCTGCAGTACGTGCCAGAACTGCCGCACGTGTTTCGCGTGGTAGGCTGTCGATGTTTAACAAAGCTTTTGGATGCACACCAATCATACGGTTGATGATGAATTCTAAACGTGCAAGACCGATCCCTTCGTTTGGAATTTGAGCAAAGTCAAATGCACGGTCAGGGTTACCTACGTTCATCATAATTTTGAACGGAAGTTTTGGCATAGATTCGATCGAGTTACGTTGAATTTCGAAATCTAACGCACCTTCATAAATAAAGCCTGTATCACCTTCAGCACAAGAAACAGTGACTTCTTGACCATCAACAAGCACTTCTGTTGCATTACCACAACCTACGATGGCAGGAACACCAAGTTCACGGGCAATAATTGCCGCATGACAAGTACGACCACCACGGTTAGTTACAATTGCAGCCGCACGTTTCATCACTGGTTCCCAATCTGGGTCAGTCATGTCTGATACAAGAACATCACCTTCTTGTACTTTGTCCATTTCTTTAATCGAAGTAACGATACGAACTTTACCAGAACCAATACGTTGACCAATTGAACGACCTTCACAAAGAACTGTACCTTTTTGTTTAAGCAGGTAACGTTCCATTGTGCCGACATTCTCACGGCTTTTTACAGTTTCAGGGCGTGCTTGAACGATATAGATTTGACCATCATCACCGTCTTTTGCCCATTCGATATCCATCGGCGCTTGATAATGTTCTTCAATGATCAAGGCTTGTTTAGCAAGTTCTTGAAGCTCTAAATCATTTAAAGCAAATTGCTGACGATCTGTTTTTTCAACATCAACAACCACAACAGATTTACCCGCAGCACCTTCTTCACCATAAATCATTTTTTGGTGTTTAGAACCAAGATTACGGCGAATAACGGCATGTTTGCCATTTCTTAGAAGTGGCTTAGAAACATAGAATTCATCTGGGTTTACTGCACCTTGTACAACCATTTCCCCCAAACCGTAAGAAGCAGTAATAAATACTGCTTCACGGAAACCAGATTCTGTATCAAGTGTAAACATTACACCTGCAGCACCCGTTTCAGAGCGAACCATACGCTGAATACCAGCAGAAAGCGCAACAATATCATGTGCAAAATTTTGGTGTACACGGTAAGCAATGGCACGGTCATTATAAAGTGAAGCAAAAACTTCTTTAATTGCGATAAGAACGTTGTCGATCCCACGAATGTTTAAGAAAGTTTCTTGTTGACCCGCAAATGAAGCATCTGGTAAGTCTTCAGCAGTTGCAGAAGAACGTACCGCAACAGCGATGTCAGGATTACCGTTAGAAAGGGCAGCAAATGCTTCGCGAACTTCAGTCTCTAGACCTGTAGTAAGTGGAGTTTCTACAATCCATTGACGGATTTTTGCACCAGTTTCTGCAAGTGCGATTACATCATCAACATTTAATGCTGCAAGTTCTGCATTGATTTTAGCATTTAGGCCACTTTGCTCTAGGAATTCGCGATATGCATCAGCAGTCGTTGCAAATCCACCTGGAACCGATACGCCAGCATTTGCTAAATGACTGATCATTTCCCCAAGTGAAGAGTTTTTACCACCCACGATCTCAACGTCGTGTTTACCTAGTTTTTCCAGACCGATTACGCGTGCTTCCAAAGTTGTTACTCCACTTATGCAGTATTAATCACTATCTTGGCATGAAATTATAACAAAAAACTTAGCATTTTGATTCAACTAAGTGATAGTCATGTAAGATGGGCTTACTATAAAGATTATACATCGCTAAGACAAATGTTTGAGGAGATTTTTAATGTCAGAAAGTAACCAAATAAAGCGGAGCGTATTTTTTATTTCTGATGGTACAGCGATTACGGCTGAAACCCTTGGGCATTCATTATTAGCGCAATTTCCTCATGTAAAGTTTGATATCCATATTATTCCCTATATTACCTCTGAAGAAGCTGCAATGAATGTGGTCGAAGAAATCAATAAAAGGGCGGATAAAGATGGTCAACAACCCTTGGTATTCGATACTTTGGTTGACCCTTATGTTCGTGACATTATTAATACTGCAAATGCAGTAAATCTTGATGTTTTTGAAGGGCTTATTAGTAAGTTGTCAGACGTTTTAGGTACACCGCCTACAACTTTAGTCGGACAAACCCATGCTGTGACGGATTCTGAGTCGTATAAAGCACGTATTGATGCTGTTCATTTTGCTTTGGATAACGATGATGGAGCACGTACCCGCCATTATGACAAAGCAGATTTAATCCTGATCGGCGTATCGCGTTCTGGTAAAACCCCAACTTCAATTTATTTATCTTTGCAGTTTGGTATTCGAGTTGCAAACTACCCATTAACCGAAGAAGATTTAGACGATAATCGTTTACCTGCGGTACTGAAAGAACATAAAAATAAACTATTTGGTTTGATGATTGATGCTGAACGTCTCGTTGCCATTCGTTCTGAACGTAAAGCCAATAGTCGTTATGCGAGCTTTTCGCAGTGTCAGATGGAGCTACGTGCTGTTGAAGGGATCTATATTTCTGAAGGGATTAAATATTTAAATGTTTCAGAGATGTCGATTGAAGAAATTTCAACACGTGTTTTACAAATGACAGGGCTTAAACGTCGTATTGGATAATCCATCCTTATAATTTTTGATGTGTGATGTAGTGTAAGAACAGTATTGAGCTGAATCAAGATTTGGCTCTTTTTCTTTTATGTTTATTATTTTTTATAGTGTGATTTGTTATATGAATAAGATATTAAAAGTAAGTTCATTTTTCATGCTTGTAAGTGTACAAGGTATATTTGCACAACAAACCAATGCTGAATCATTGAGCAACTTTGAAAATGGTTTGGTTGAAAAATACTATCAAAAAACCTGTTCAGGGCGTGGTGAATGTGATCAGTACAATGAAAAAATTTCCAGTGAAATTGAAAATAAAATAAAAAATGATTCATCGAGTTTTGCATATTCGTTTGCAAAACTCACTGAAAAAAATATGCTGGATATCCATTACAGTCCTGATCGAAAAATCAAATTTTATACGATGGACGTTTCTGCTGGGGGAACGATGAGAGAACCATATAGTTTAATTCAAGTGAAGCCAAGCAATGGTTTGGCGTCCCAAGAGTTAGCTCAAGTGGGATTTATCGATAAAATTGCGCAAGTCAAAATTAAAAATCAGGACGTTTATTTAGTCACCAGTCTATTTATTAATAGTACTTGTTCAAGGGGCTATCGCATTCACTCCTTTGTGTTGAATAACGGCAAATTTGTCGCGCAACCCATTTTTGAAACCAAAACTCAAAAACTTGATTCAATTGGTGTTGAAAATGATTGTCAGGAATGGGAACGTTCTGCAGAAGATTTTATCCGTATCTCAAAAGACTTAAAAAATATCGATATATTAGTGGTGAATGCTTCAGGAAAACTGACCAATAACTATTTACGTTATCAAAAGACTCCACAGGGTTATCGTTACAGCAGTGTAGTCAAATAATTCAAAGAATAGTGAATTTAACAAGTTTAAGAGGCCTAGAAGCCTCTTAAACTCGAATCTTCTCAATCTATTATTCGTAAGTGGTAATAATCACATCCACTAAATGCTCAATTCCTTCCATACTTTGTACGGCATTTTCAGTAATTTTAACGACTGGCCAAGTGATCAATTTACAGTTTTTACGTTGTAGCGCTGTATAGTAGGTGTCGGATTTTAAAAACACTTTACTCTTTAACGCAGAGTTCGGCATCAACTGACGTTTTAACCATTGTTCCTGAACTTGCGACTCTAGATAACGAATCGCTAACATCGATTTAACACGATGATTAAACAAACGACGGTTTTTGATAATCAAAGGGTGCGAGATTAACTTTTGAACCCCTTTTTCAGTTTGCGGTAAAATAAAAGCGGGTGTAATTTGAAACACTTTTACAAATTCAGCACTGTTTAAAACGTGGCCAAGATGGGTGACTGTAAGTTGGTTTGCACCAATAATTGCCACGTTTAAACCAGTAAAATCGGTGAGTTTAATCTCAGCAGATGCAATAATTTTACCTTTATAATGTTTAAAAAATTCAGGCTGATTTTGAAAAAAACCTTCATTTTGACTTTTTTTCCTATCGAGCATATTATTTCCTTTTTATACTAATTGGTCGCAGTGGGTTCTGACGTTAATTGATATATCCAACTTGGGACTTTAGGTAAAGACTTTTCAGGAATCTTGTCAGTCATGCTAACCATGGCATCAATCGGGATATGGAACCATTTTTTATTGCGATCTACTACATTTTTGCCATGAAATTGAATGATTTGAAACCACGGGTTACGGCGTCCTTCCACTGTTCTTCCGCCAATTTTCGAAAATTTATTCATTGCTGCATATAATTTTTCTTCAGGAAGTCCGAGCTTAATGACATTGTCACGCATTTTATTGATCAAGGGTAAGTAAGCCAAAATACCCAGCATCAAACGTGGGTCGACTACTCGTGCAGCCATTTGGGCAAGCTCAATGACGCTTTTATTGATCCCTTGTGCTTCCATTACACTGAAACCCACACCTAAATGCCGTGCTTCATCACCATTAATCAGTTCAAAGGCTTGGTGGCAAACAGGATCATCTACAGTATCCAATAAAAAGGTACATAAAGCGCCATCCAAAGCCACTTCAAGCATGGGAATCACTGCGCCTAAAATATAAAAAGGCATTTCATCGGCATAGGTATCTAGCCATTCAATAATTAAACGTAAATTTTTATTTGGTTTAGGGATATCACCATCTAACATTCCCCAACGTTTCATGAGCGCCATTTCTGCATTGGCATGGCGTTGCTCTTCGGCATGGAAGATGGCGTACATCTCCCGTAAAGTTGCTGTTGGCGCTTTTTTTGACATTGCCGAAAATGCACGGGCACCTACATGCTCAATCCACATCAGATCTGCCATAAAGTCTTTAAGTTTTGGCCATTGTTCGGCTGTAACCAGCTCTCGACCTGGTGCATCCCAATCAATATCGGATAAAGTCCATTGTGTGTTTTTGACTTTATCTAACATTTTTTCTAAGTCAATTGAAGCCATAGCAAATCTATCAAAAATAAGGATTTCATTGCATTTTATTTAATATTTCTGTGAATCAATTGGCAAAGATATTCATTGTGGAATGATGAAAAATATCAACGCAGTAATGGTTTGATTTTGAATGTGAAAATTTAGCTAAGTGATTGAGATAAAAAGAAAGACTTGTCATAAAAGGACAAGTCTTATCATTTGGAGCAATGGATTGTTTAACAATTAAAATTTATCTTCTGGTGTTTCTAGTTCTTTAACTTCAACTTGCTGAACAGGGTGGGGCTGAGGTAGTTCAGGCTGTGAATGCGTTCTGAGATATTCCAAGTCTCGAATATTCTTTTGTACAGCAACAGCACCGAAGAGACTAAGTAAAAAAGCCATGATATAAAAGCCTTTCTCACTGAATGCCATCGTCGCGTTCCATAAACCCAATGCTAGCAGAACAATACAGATCACCACTGAAGCCCAGCACAGTCCATAATAAATTGCTGTAACTTGCTGACCTTCAAGTTTATCCCGAACAACTTTTTGCAGTGAAACAGCAGAAAATAAACCATAAAGGATCAGGATTAAATAATAGCCTTTTTCATTCAATAGAATTTCTGCATTGAATAAACCGACACAGTAGGCTGCTGCACCAGCAAGTAAAGCCACCCAACTGACTGCAATAAAAGCAGGGGTGGGTTTATTGATATATTGGTTCATTGTTGTTCCTTATTACTATTTTACTGATTTTTATATGTTCTATTATGCTGATTTGAAATGAGATGGCAAATCTTTTCAATTTATTAGAGCTAATTCAAATAGAGTTTAATTACGAAGAATAATAAATAGTATTTTAAATCAATTGGATATTTAAGCTATAGAACAGTTAAATCAAAAAAAAACCAAAATGAAATTTGTCATTTCATTTTGGTAAAGAGGAAAACATGATTGATTTGTATTATTTTTTTAAATCCATCAACAAACTAAAGTTGTCTAGGCGCTTCTGTGTATCATAAATATCGCAAGTGAAAATAAATTCATCTACCTGATATTTTTCTAAAAGTTGCTTTAAACCGTTATTTACTGTCTCTGGTGAGCCAATTTGCGCCATACCCAAGAAGTTTTGTACGGACATTTTCTCTGATGCAGACCATCGGCCTTCCATTGTTGCTACAGGCGGTTTCAGTTTTAAACTTTGTCCTGTCAGTAATGCAAGAATACGTTGATACACACTTGTGGCTAGATACTCCGCTTCCTCATCGGTTTGGGCAACCACAGTAGGCACACCCATAGATACAAACGGTTTATCTAAATAGGCGGATGGTTCAAAATTGTCACGATAGAGCTGAATGGCTTGGCCTAACATTCTCGGTGCAAAATGTGAGGCAAATGAATAAGGAAGTCCTAATTTAGCCGCCAGTTGTGCGCTAAAAAGACTCGACCCTAAAAGCCATACAGGCACATGCGTACCTTGCCCTGGTGTTGCTTTAATTCTTTGCTGAGGCACTGCGTCCGCGAAATAGCTTAAAATTTCTAAAACATCTTGTGGAAATTGCTCTTCAGTTTCTTGACGACCACGTCTTAATGCACGCATGGTGGTTGGATCAGTTCCAGGCGCACGACCTAAGCCGAGTTCAATACGATTTGGATAGAGTGTCGCCAAGGTACCAAACTGTTCAGCAACAACTAAGGGTGCATGGTTGGGTAACATAATCCCTCCCGAGCCCACTTTAATATTTTTTGTGTTGGCTAAGATGTAACCCAGCAATACAGCAGTTGCGGAGCTGGCGATACCGTCCATATTATGATGTTCAGCTAACCAAAGGCGATCAAAGCCCAATTGTTCTGCATGCTGGGCAAGTTGCAATGCATGCTTAAGTGAAAACTCAACTGTTTGATCTTCTCGAACAGGTGCGAGTTCTAGGATAGAGAACTTCGTATTCTTTAATGCGGTATCTGTTAAAGACGACATTTTTAAACTCGAAAATAATATATATCGAAATAATACGATATAAGTGTGCAAATGTATATCGAAAATTGTCGATATTTAGTGGTTTTGATGTTGATTTTATTATCCAAAAAAATTAAGCACCCAGAGGTGCTTGATTTAAATGATTGGATATTAATTTTGCAATGAAATTAATTTTTCCAGTTATTCCAACGGTTTTTGTTTTTGTAGTGACCATAATGATTGCCATTGTCTTTACGATAGCCACGGTCATTATAGCGATAATCAACATTACGATAACCGCTACGATCATAACGATCATTGTAACGTCCATAACGGCTGTCATAGCGGTCATCATAACGACGGTCGTCACTGACTTTTTGACCTAATGCAGAACCACCTGCAGCACCAAGACCCGCGCCAATATAACCACCAGTCGAAGTACCCGTCACATTACGACCTACGGTATAACCACCAGCACTACCTAAAGCACCGCCAATGATCGCACCATTACGGTCACGTTTATTCGATGAAGCGCCTGCGCCAACACCACCACCGATTGCAGAACCAATCATAGCGCCTGTTGAACCACCCATTTGTTGGCCAATCGCAGCACCCACCACACCACCAAGTGCAGATGTTAATGCTGTATTGGTTGAGTTGCCTGCATGTGCAGTCGTCATCATTGTTGCTGCAATTACAGTTGCACCAAGGATTGCTTGTAATTTCATTTTAAACTCCTGATCGAAGCTTCTTCGAATTCTTTAACTTGAGGCTAGAATAACGAAACATTTAGCAATAATTATGGATTTGAATGTAAGCAATTTCTGTGTTTTGTGTGTGGATTGTATATTTGGCTGATTAATTTATTCATGATTAGTTTGTATTGAGCTTATGAGGGGAATATTGTTGTCGTAACAATCATGATGATATTTTAATATTAAAATATCTGTTGAGATGCAGCTCTACCAATGTATAGCTAGAACATATAGTCAACCTGTTAAAAAACTTATATACAAGAATATAATTTCTCTTAATTAGCATTTTTAATTAAATCAATTGTATGGAAAAATAAATTGTTTGATGATAAAAAGCTTGCAATGCCACACCTTACATTCAAAGTTTAAATACCCCCACCCAACATGGCGACATCCATGTCGCCCCACGGTAGGATAACCATCTAGGATTCACAAATACAAAAACTTATTCATAGCCAAAACTTCTCGATTTCATACAAAAAACATTAGCTTCGTTGATGATCAATGACTGGATGAAAATCATTTGTATAAATAATTAGGGGGTTTGACTATAAAGAAACGTGATATTGATATGTGAATAAATATGAAGAATCGCTCGGGCTAAAGACAAATGATAGAAACTGAACGCTTAATTTTAAAACCATTTATGGAAAAAGATTTATTGGAAATCTCTGCTTTATTTCAGGATGAAGATTTTATGGCTTTTTCTCCCAATCGGGTTTTAACGACTGAGTCTGCCATAGGGCGATTTTGGGAGATTGAGAAACATTATAAAGAATATGGCTATGCAAAAATGGCGATTTTCTTAAAAGCAACTCAGCAAATTATTGGATATTGTGGTTTTGAAAAATGCGTATTGAATGGTAATCAAACCGTTGAATTAGGATTTCGTTTGCTAAAACAAGAAAGGCGAAAGGGCTATATAAAAGAAGCTGCAATCAAATTATGTGAAGATATTCAAGCTAGAGGTTTTCAATCGGTCATCGCGTTTTCTGAATTAAATAATGCTGCTGCACATCAACTTTTGTTTAAACTTGGATTTATACAAAGGCATGCTTCTCATTTTTTTAATATGCAGGTGATTTTTTTCGAAAAAATCTTTTAAGAAAAATGAGAAGAGTAATGTGAAAAACAAAAAAGCACCCGAAGGTGCTTGATATCGTTCAAGGATCAATTAGTGATGACGACGGTGTTTTTTGTAGTACTTTTTATTGTACTTACGTTGATCTGCATGGCGGTCTTGAGAAACTTTTTTACCAAGAACTGAACCACCCGCTGCACCAGCAGCAGCACCAATATAACCACCTGTGGTACCACCCATATTTTTACCTACGGTATAGCCACCAACACCACCTAAACCACCACCAATTGCAGCCGCAGTACGGTCTTTTCTATTGGTTGATGCAGCAGCACCACCTGCACCGCCCACTGCTGAACCAATCATTGCGCCAGTGTTACCACCGATTTGTTTACCTACAGCAGTACCAACGACACTACCTAAAGCAGAGGTTGCTGCGATACGTGTTGAGTTATCAGCATGAGCACTTACTGTAAATATTGAAGTTACTGCCAATACAGTACTAAATATGATCGTATTAAATTTCATGTGTTGCTCCATGTCCTTATCTGGACAGTTCTATCTCTATTCGATGTGGCAAATGTAACAAAAATTTTTCCAAAAAATGTGGAGAGGGATCTGAAAATTGATAGCGTTTGGTATCTGAATGTATGTTTTCTATTAAAAGTGATTTTAAAACACCCATATTAGTCAACAATTAGCATGAATAATGGAGAATAAAAGCATCTAATCAAAAATCATGCGGATCATCTTGCTATAAATTCTATAGCTTATCTTGATGGCGCTTATATAAATGTGTCATTTAAATGGCAGAATCGGTAAACTAGGCACAATTTTAGAATTTTCTTACCAATTTTAAATGGGCTGTTATAAAGCTCGATGTTTTTTGGTAAGGCTTAGCTTGAGAATGTATTTAAAATGAAAGAATCGTTACGTTTACGATTAGACCAACTTTGTGATCGACATGAAGAGTTAGAAGCATTATTGGCAGATGTCGAAGTCATTTCAGACAATAAGCGTTTTCGTAATTTGTCCCGTGAGCATAATGATTTATCAGAAATTACCGATGTTTGGAAAAAGTACAAGCAAGCTGAAGAAGATATTGAAACAGCAGAAGCAATGTTAACTGATCCAGATTTTAAGGATATGGCTGTTGAGGAAATCAAAGAGAACAAAGCTTTAATTGAACAACTTGAAGCTGAGTTGAATATTCTCATGATTCCTAAAGACCCAAATGATGCCAACTCGGCATATTTGGAAATCCGCGCTGGTACAGGTGGTGATGAAGCGGCGATTTTCTCGGGTGACTTATTCCGTATGTATAGTAAATACGCTGAAACTCAAAACTGGCGTATTGAGATCTTATCTGAAAATGAAGGTGAGCATGGCGGATATAAAGAGATTATCTGTCTAGTGAATGGTGAAGGTGTTTACGGTCGCTTGAAGTTTGAAAGCGGGGCGCATCGTGTACAACGTGTTCCAGCCACTGAGTCACAAGGTCGTGTGCATACTTCGGCATGTACTGTGGCAATTCTTCCAGAAGTTGATGTAGACACCACAGTAGAGATTAATGCTGCGGATCTACGTATTGATACTTACCGTGCTTCTGGTGCGGGTGGTCAGCACATTAACAAAACTGATTCTGCTGTACGTATTACCCATCTTCCAACAGGTACTGTTGTGGAATGTCAGGATGAACGTTCACAGCATAAAAACAAAGCAAAAGCGATGGCGTTACTGGCTTCACGTTTAGAGAATGCGAAACGTGCTGCAGCCGATGCAGCAACATCTGAAATGCGCCGTGATTTGGTAGGTTCAGGGGATCGTTCGGAACGTATCCGCACATATAACTATCCACAAGGTCGTATGACAGATCACCGTATTAATTTAACTTTATATAAGTTAGATGCAGTAATGGAAGGTGATTTGACTGAGCTACTTGACAGCTTACATCGCGAATATCAAGCAGATCAGTTGGCGATGCTTGCACAACAAAATGGTGGTTAATGAATATTGCACAGGCTTTGGCCTTACGTGGAGAAGCTGAAAGTTATGAGCGTCAAGAAAATGCTTGGTTACTTGAGCATATTTTAAAAATTGATGCTTTTGATTTGTCACTTAAATCTACGCAAGAATTAACTGCTGAGCAAGAACAGCAATATGTTGAGGGTCTAGCGCGGATTGCTGCGGGTGAACCCTTGGCTTATGTAACTGGCTCACAACCATTTTGGACTTTGGATTTAACCGTTACCAGAGACACTTTAGTCCCTCGTCCAGATACTGAGGTATTGGTTGAAACGGTTTTAAATCTTGATTTGCCTGAAGATACTCGTATGGTTGATTTAGGTACGGGTACAGGTGCGATCGCATTATCGCTGGCAAGTGAGCGTCCAAATTGGTCTATTATTGCCACAGATATTTATGAACCGACTTTAGAAGTTGCTTTACATAATGCTGAAAAGCATGACTTGGGGCAGGTCAAGTTTTTTCTAGGAAGTTGGTTTAAAGCTTTGAATCGTCAATTTTTTGATGTGATAGTTTCTAATCCACCTTATATTGATGCTGATGATGAGCATATGCCGCATCTTGCTTCTGAGCCTGAACGAGCTTTGGTTGCTGAGCAGCATGGTTTGGCGGATATTGAACATATTGTTCAGCAAGGTAAAAAATGGTTGGCGACTCAAGGTTGGATCGTACTTGAGCATGGTTATGATCAAGCTGAAGCGGTACAAAACATTTTTAAAGGTGCTGGTTTTAAACAGGTCAGAACTGTTAAAGACTATGGCGGTAATGATCGTGTCACGTTAGGTCAGTGGCCAAATTAGTTTTGCATTGCTATATCTAAAAAGACTTTGTTGGATGGCGGTGGTTGCTTATCCAACAAAGTCTTTTTTATTGGCGAATAAATAGTATTAAAAGAATTTGACCTATTCAAAATTTTAAAGATTGGGTTGAAATATAGCCTTTAGAAAAACCAGCTAAGTCAAATTACTTTTCACCAATTGAATCGGCTCTAAGAGTTTTTCACCCAGAGAGCTGTGCATTTCTCTTTCAATTAAACGAGTAATTGAATCTAAAGGTAAATCATTTTCTTGTAGGCCAAATGGTTCTTCAAGCTGAGCACTCAAAGCATCTAGTCCCAAAAATAAATAAGCAATTAAACTGACGATGACGGGTGTCCAAATCCCTAAACTTGCTTCTAAACTAAACGGCAAAATCAAACAAAAGCAATATACTGTGCGATGTAATAAGACTGAATAAGAATAAGGCAATGGGGTGGTTAGAATGCGATCACAGCCAGCCTGAATATTACCCATTGCAACAATATGATGATTTAAACCTTGATAGATAATGTCAGAAATTTCACCTGATTTAAGTGATTGCACTAAAGATTTTTGGATTTCTTCTAAAACAAATTGTGCAGCATTAATGTGGTTTGCCAGTTGGCTAAAGCTTAATTCATCTAAATCAACTTTATTTTTATAAAATTCAATGGACTGATTTTGATTGCGTAAACGATTTCTTAATAAACGGGTAAATAGCATCACACGATACATTAAAACTTTACGCTGGTTTTCTTGCAAAACATGCGTGTCACGAGAAAGATGGCGTGAGGTTGCAATCAAAGCACCCCAGAGTTTACGACCCTCCCACCAACGATCATAACATGCAGTATTTCTAAAGCTTAAGAAAATAGAAAGGATAATCCCGAACACGGTAAACCCAATTGCAGGTACAGCAGGAATTGTAAAATAGTGATGTGATGATAGGTAAACCAGAACTGTCGAGATCAGCACAACAAAAGTTAATGCGGGTAAGACTTTGGGAAGAATGGTGCCGTGCCAAGCAAAGAGAAGTGCGAAGCTGTTACTTTTATCACGAATGATCATACTGTCTACCTTACTATTACTGTGACAGTGTTTCATAGAGAAAAGCAGAAATGCAAGTTGCAAATAAGCAATTTAAAAAATACGGCTGATCAAAAGCCGTATTTTGAGCGGTTTATGTTCTCCAACGTAAAAACCAGTTTTCAATCAATTTCATCAGATTGTCAGTGAGTTTACCAAGGACAGCCAGCAAGATAATCGCAATAATCACAATATCGGGCCGTGAGGTTTCTCGACCATCACTGAGTAGATAACCGATACCTTGTGTCGCTGCAATCAGTTCTGCTGCAATCATAAACATCCACGCTAGGCTTAAACTGTTTCTTAGTCCAACGAGAATTCCAGGAGATGCAGCAGGCAGAACAATTTGGAAGATACTTTGTAGATAGGTCAGACGGTATACTTTTGCCACTTCTAACAACTTTGAATCAACACCATGTATGGCAGATACGCTATTGGTATAGGTGGGAAAGAATGCACCAATCGCGATTAAGGTAATTTT